CTGAACTGGCAGCAGTGCATAATGTATTTCATATCTCAATGCTTAGAAAATATGTTTACGATCCCAATCATGTTGTAAGCTACCGAACTTTGGAAGTACAAAAAGACCTGTCATATGAAAAAATCCTAATGATGATTTTGAATAGAAATGTGCATCAATTCAGGAACAAAGAAGTTCTACTGGTCAGGGTGCAATGGTGTAATCATGGATTGGACGAGTCAACATGGGAGAAGAAAGATGATCTTAAAATCAAGTATCTAGAACTCTTCCATTAGTTAAGGTAATTTTCGAGGACGGAAATACTTAAGGTAGGTAGATTGCAACACCCAAAAAAAATAAAAAAATAAAATTAGCATAAAAATGTATTTGTTTTATATGTTATATTTTTATATTTTTTTTTAAAAAGAAGACTAAAATGAAATAGATTTTAAATTCATATTTATGTTTGAGTCGAATAATTAAATTTTGATATGACAATTATAAATATATCAATATTGAGCTCGTTAGATAGTTTGTAATTAATCGTGCATATTACACTCGAGAAATAATTATTTCGAATGAGTTATGCTCATATTATTGATGTAAAAAAATTACCTAAATTTTAATTAATTAAGTTAATATTGATTTTCCAAGCAATCCACACGTACACTAGTTTGAATGAAGATATATTTTAGATGATAATGGTTTGATGTTGATGGAGAGCCAAGTAGCCTTATTTTTATAATATTTAATTGCTTTGATTTTGGGAATTGATAAGAGTTATCAATGAATTTGATTTTAATATTATTTTCTTGCTTTGATTTTGGGAGTTTGTAGAATGGTTGGCACATGTAGATTGAATAGGAAAGGACATGCTTTTTTTTTTTTTTTTTTTAATTTTTATTTTTTTTAAATTTTTTTTTGGATGGGGACTTTTGTGGGGGACATCACGGCATCATGCATTTTTGGCCCACCAAAAATTTAATTTCCCCTTTCAACTTTAAATACAATACAAAAGTAATCATTATCTATCCTAAAGAGAGAAAATAAAAGAGAAAAACATAGATACGTTTACTGTGGCAGCACGTTGATATTAAAGATTGGGAAAGTAAATTTCTTGCTTCTTTTCCAACAATCCTTATCATCAATCGAGGTAGAATCACGAGGTGTAAGTTGTTAGTCCCATTTAATTTTTTTCTTCATGTTGATAGATATTATATTAATGAAAGTTATTATATGATATGATATGAAATGGCCACCCGGTATCAATTAGATATGATATGTTATGAGTTCTTACCGATTTCTAAAGATATGATGTGACGGTATGATATTTTTACACATGATTTAATAATTTTTATTCTGAATTGCACCATATTTTTTGTATCCTACTGAGTATTTTCATGTACTCATCCTTTTCCCTACTCATCATAGGTTGGAACTGATCATTGGTTGGTAGGCCACGATGTTATCGTGGTGCTATGACTTATGAGACACTAAAAATAATCCGGTATAATAAGAATTTTTTTTTTATTTTAGCAATTTCTTAGTTTTAAATTCATAAAATTTTTAATTAGAAATTTTAAACATGCCTAATTGGGTTATAAGTATAAAACTGTGTTATGTTTTATTGGTGGAATTAATATTTTTTTTAATGTATTTAGAATATATCATGTTTGGTGGCGATTTAAATTACAAAATTTGGATCGTTACATGCTTGCTACTAGTATGTGTAGGTATTATACTCTAGGTCAAATTAATTTTGGACATAAATACTTTTGATATATAATTAATGTAATTTAATGATAGATCTATTGTTTAATTAATAGATATTTAAATAAATAATAGAGTCCGTACATTCAAATCTTCGTAATTTGTTAATCACAAGGAGTTGTGATTGTGAGATACAAATTACATCTGATTGAATCTTAAATTGTCCGTGGTCGTAAGTAATAACGAGATACAGATATCGTTATTACGGATGGACCATCACGTGTGACATTTCTTACTTGTGAAATAAGTAACCGATCTCACAAGTTAAAATGTGACGACACTTAAATGAACACGTGGATATTTTGTTATAGAACAAAACATTGAAGACCCGCCGAGAGATTCCACATGGATAACTATTTGAGTGTCAGTGGTTAATCTCTAACGTTCGGTAGTGGAATTGGTCCTTTGACTTGAGGTCGTCATGGTACCTTATATGAGGACAGTCATACTTTGGCGGTGTTGGACGTTGCTCTGCAAAGGGCCGCTAATACGACATCGTTCGAGTACGTCAAGAATCATATGAAGGTTGTGATTGACCAATAAAGGATTCGTCACTCTTAAATAGTAGGAGATTATGATTTGCGTTTCATTCAATTAAATCGATGATGAAATCCTTGGCCAAGGTATACTCATAAGTCGAAAAGGAGTTTTCGACTTGTATTGACTTAATAGTGGAGTGAAAGATATTATCGATAATCGAGATTGACACACTTCCATATCTCGTAATTGATCGAATCATATTGACGAAGGGATTATAGTTTCACGGTAAACGAATTAGTTTAGTTTTGTCATACCATATGACATTTCCCGTTACATGTATTGCCCTGACACATTGCTAAATGTCAATCTGGGACGGCGAGTGTGAATTGACTATAAATTAAAAGGGTGTTTTAATTTATCAATTTTGATTAGATCAAAATAATATTTCACATCGTTAGGTATCGTGATTGGGAACCTGATGGGTCACACATAAAAGAGAATTGAAAGATTGCAATTTGTCAATTAATTAATTTAACAATCGTTGGATTAATTAATTAATTCACGGACCGAATTTAATTAAATGGATTAATTAAATATTGGACCGAACCGGACCAGGCTCGTTTGGGTTTATATAAATACATAATTAGAGTTTGAGGTCCATATGATTTTCATTATTCTTGCTGGCACAAGAGAGAAAACCCTGGTAACTGCAATCTTATTATCTGTGTGGATCACCGTTGGAGGCTGGACAATTGAATAGTTATGAATGACGAATCATGATTGCTGGAACGAAAAGAAAAGTAAAAGGTTTGTAGAATTCTTCAAAAGTACAATCTTTATCAAGATTTCTATTCAAACACAAAGGGATTCTCGATGGAAATCGAAATAATTTTAATTTTTCGCTGTACATGTATAAATAGATTCCCAACAGTATGTGTGTATGTACAATATATGTACACACACATACATATGTATGTATTCACTATTTTAAGTGGGTGAAAAATTAGTTCTTCATTACGTGTGCAAATTCTAAAGTATTCAGTAAACTAAGCTCTATTCACTAGTAGTAATATTTCTTGACGTAATATCTTGTATTTAGAAATTGAGATTCATCTTTATTTTATGCCTAACTTAGTTTCATTTAATAATTTTAACTTTATTTAAATGTTAAATTTCTTTTTAAGAATTTTGTTACGATTAAACATTCCATTTGTTGATTACTGAATTTTAGAACATTTTTTTTTTGGTCGGTCTGAATTTTAGAACATTTAATTGAATGACATCCAATTTGTTTCCTATTTGTTCCATAATTAGAGATGGAATTAATATTTTAATTTTTATGATACCTGATGCTATCGAAAATTGTACCATGAAGATTAAAGAATGAAGACAAAGCTCGAGAATGAATAGAACTTTCAATCTGAAACAAAAGAGTTGAGTCTCTCTTTCCATGGTGAAGTTCTGGAAAAGGGATGTATATTCGTAAGGCTATTAATTGGGTTAATATAAAACATACCTAGATAATGAATAGTGATGTTGTATTTATAGTATCAGTTGATGCAATCCTGATGGGACTAGGAATGTCGTGTTTGCTCAAGAGTTCAAGAGGACGAAGAGTTCTGTGATGAGCAAATATTAGAGATTTACTGAAATTGTTAGACTTTCATTATCAGATGGCATTAGAACTATAATGCTTGAATCCTATTAAGCTAAGAACCTTGAAGAGAGATCATTAGGGAGCCGAAATTGTTTAAAGACGTCGAGGGGCACAAGCCCATCATAATGGATGTGTGTACTTGTGGTAGAATCGTCTGGACCCTAATGATGTTGTCTCTATACATATTTTAATGTCTAATTTATTCTTTCATTTTTTGTTTAAGTCAAGAGCTATATAAACCTCTTTATTGTCTTAGAATCAAATGGATGATTAAACTGTGGACTTCTTGGTTCTTAAACCAACGTGGCCTTATTTCTGTTTATGATGCTTTTAGTAAACCTCACAAAAATTCCTTTCGTTTTTTTCTTTTTATTGGTTTGATTACCGCTGCACTAAAGTGGTACCATTGCGTAGATTGAGTTCATTAGAAAATGGATCATTGATGGTGGTCTCAATGTGCATAGATTTTTCAACTTGTCAAGTTGAATGAACTAACCAATATAGTATGACTAAATCAATAATTGAAAAGTCTTTCCATTAACGTACCTTTCGGTGTGCTGTATTATAATTTTTGTGAGAGCATCTATCTAGAACATGCTTATACTTCAATGCAATTCCCTAGTGGGGCAAACATTTTTGACTTCATTCTCAGTGAATTATTGACAAGAATCGTGCTTGTTGTGCAATGATTTTTACAACAAGATTAACAACATACCACGTGACAGGTTGTTATTGGACAGTTTGAAAAATATTTTATCTTTCTCATGAATACTTTTTTGACACCTACATCATTGTCAAGCATGTTGTACAAATCTATTGTACAAATAGATTATTCCTTATTGACAAACCAATGTCCATTTTTTTTTTTTACTTTTGTGTCAATTACGTGGTGTCTTTTTTGTGACGTGCCTCTCGAGAACCTGATTATAGGTGCTTGGGATACGACAAATACATATCTACTGCTATATAATAATTGTACGTGAGATAAAATATGTAATTAAAATTAATTATTAATTTAGACATAAATTTTTATTAATTTTTTTAGCTAACATAACGGGGGACTTTGTTGACACTTGTATTACCTGATCAAGCAAATTACCCATACCCAACCAATGAAAAGGTAACCCGTTGGGTTCTCCATTAATTTGAAACTTTTGTTGATTATATATATAAGCTTATTGAGATTTCCGCCAAACAAAGGCAAGAACATGTCTCTTCTTTCTTCTTGCAATCCCAAACCACATGTGGTTCTCTTTCCTTTTATGTCCAAAGGCCACACTATCCCCATTCTCCATCTATCTCGCCTACTCCTCGACCACGGCTGCCAGGTAACTCTCTTCACTACCCCAGTAAATCGTCCGTACATCGTTCATTCTCTCCCAGGCGATGATATTACCATCATCGACCTTCCATTTCCCGCAGACATACCTGAAATACCAACCGGAATTGAGAGCACCGACAAACTCCCGTCCATGTCTCTATTCTTACCTTTTGCCAGAGCCACAAAACTCATGCAACCATACTTTGAAAAGACTCTGCAAACACTTCCTTATGTCACCTGTATCGTATCGGATCAGTTCCTCCATTGGACGGTGGAATCTGCCACGAAATTAGGCATTCCACGGCTGGGATTCTTTGGTACGAGCAACTACGCCAGTGCACTCAGCCGAGATGCGGCTGTCAATGGGCTACTCTCCTTGCACGAGTCCGCTGACGAACCCTTTAATCTCACAAGCTTTCCATGGATCAAGCTCACCAGGAATGACTTTGACGACCCGTTTAATAAACGGGAGCCTTCAGGTCCTCTATTCGACTTCGTTATTGAGTCGGTTATAGCCATGTCCAATAGTTACGGCCTTCTGGTTAACAGTTTCTACGAGCTCGAGCCACTGTATGTAGATTATTGCAACCGCGAGTCTAAACCCAAAGCATTCTGTGTTGGACCCTTTTGCTTGACCCGACTACCAATTATAGAGCCTGTATTGCACCAGGAACGTAGATGGATTCAATGGCTGGACCAAAAACTTGCACAGGGAAATCCAGTTCTCTACGTTGCATTCGGGTCCCAAGCAGAAATATCGTCAACGCAGTTAACCGAAATTGCTCGTGGCCTTGAAGAATCGAATGTAAGCTTCTTGTGGGTGGTGAGAAAGAGTGGAATAGAATTAGGCTATGAATTTGAAGACAGGATAAAGGAAAGAGGAATGGTAGTAAGAGAATGGGTTGATCAGAAACATATTCTTGAACACGAAATCGTTCAGGGATTTCTGAGCCACTGCGGCTGGAACTCGGTGTTGG